AGCAGGAATCCCCGGATTGGCAAGTGTGAGAAGCACAACGAGCAGCCTGCTGACGCAAGAGCAAGGTGGAACTGCTCTTTGCTTTCAGTGACTGCTCACACCCCAAGTCTGGGCTTGGCAGGGGGTAACAGCAAGAGTTCAGTCCTGTTAACCGTACCTTGCAGTAAAGCTGATCTGCAAAATCTCTTTGGTAGGTGCGTCCCCTTGACGTGCCTCCAAAGTGCCGGTAGCAGGGGAGACGGAAAATACTGCCGGGTCGTTGTGCCTTTCCTGTTGGTCTGCGGTGAAAGGGGCAAATATCAACCAGAGCAACACAACACCCTTTAAGTCTGTACAGCATGTGGTGCCTGAAACAATGTGCCTCCTTGCTGGCCAACTAGTCCTGTCTGCACCATCAGAGGCTTTCTGTGCGTGTGGCCAGCTTCTGTTTTCATCCTATAATCAAGGGGGGGATGAGCAGTGGCCTCCACGTCAAAATAATACCTCCCTGATCTTCCCTTTGAAGCCCATCTGTTGTTAACAGCAGTAGGCACGAGCTCAAACCGAACTCCTGAGGAGCTACTGCTTCTTGTTGCCTCTTAGGATTGTATTGTAAAAGAGCAAAGTATGTCCACTACTTGTGAGGGTTGTGATTCAATCTTTTGGTTAAAGCTGGAGTAACTGCTGAAAGCAGGAGAGATGCAGTGGTGTCAAAAAAAAAAAAAAAAAACCAAAAAAGAAAAGCCCATGTCAGTGAGAACAGAAGCAGACCTGCTATGTTGGCAGCCAACACTGTCATATATTGGCTATATATTGACCGAGTGCATGCAGTCTTGCTAGAGAAAACCACTGGACAGGGAATCTATTTAACAAGGAATGCCAATTGCCAAACCAGAATACCCAGCAAAGCAGTCCAGTAACTTCTACAGCCACTCCTGTTGCACAGGAAGACGTGCTCCGTCTTGGTCTGTGCAACAAAGCAGGTCTTGAAATCAACGGTGTCACAGGAGAGCTCCAGTACTGGGACAGCGAGGTATGCAGTCACTGGGACCAGCTGCAAAACAGAGGAAAGGGAAAGGAGGAAACCCCACGGGTTTTTTTGTAGAGCTTTAATAATACCTGCTCCAGCTGAATCATTCTTAACCTCAAGCACTGAATCAAGAGTAGTTATTCTGTGTTCTTGTGTAATAGAGTCAATTCCCCATTCTGCAGCTTGGAATGAATTAAGCTGTTGCTTGTTTTGGGACAGGTTTTCAAACCAGACCCTGTGGTCTTAATGAAGTAACGCGGAGCGAACACACTCATTTGTTGTTAGGGTTTTCTGTAGGGATGCAGACATTACAGCATCTCCTCGTCCCTCAGGACTGTATATGGCCCACTGAGTCATTTGATTTGTGCAGATTGCCCAAGAGTATTATTAAATTGACTGTATCATCGACGTGGTGCTCGGGTCTTACACAGATCAGTCCTCAGAAATACCTGGTACGAAAAAAACCTGCCTGCAGTCTAGAGGGACTGCTGAAGACTTAGCAGGGCTTTATAGCTTTCCATCTGGAGGAGCTTGGTCGTTAAACGTGTGTGGGCTGTGACCACAGCACACGGATTAGCCAGACTCAGGAGACTTTCAAGAAGCGCTCGGGTACTGCAGGAGGCGATGCTTGGTGACTCAGTGCTGGCACGTTCGCTGGGAGAGTCCTGACCCCGCGTCTCAGAAGGATGTCAAGAGCCACGCTGTCACTGGGCGTGCTGCCCTTTGACTGAGCCCTGTCGTCCGGGCTGTGCAAAAGGCTGGGGTACGAGCAGGGGGGTGCTGCTGACCCCAAACTGCTCTGTCCGCCTGTGAGACACCTGCAGTCCCGGTAGCAAGCCATCTCCTTTTGCAAATCTGTGACCGTTCACTTTAACTGGGCGCCCCAGCTGGCTCTGGAGGTGGCTGGTTCGAAGCTGAGTAAGTCCCAAGGCGC